ATTTTAGCCATTTTCAAGTGCCAGTTTTAAGTACACTCACACTGTTGGGCAGCCGCCACCACCACCACCTCATCATGTTCATCTTTCCAAACCGAAACTCCCTACCTCTTATTCTCTCTTGCACTGTAAATGTCTGCATACTTGGTTTCTTCCCCAAATTATAATACGGGGATTATACCCTATTCATGTTTCCATCCTTAAAATGCCTCGCATGCAGTTAGTGCCCCACAGCTGTGGAACTGAAGTGGCATCTTCTTGAAATGGCAGCAAAGATATGCAGCCTTTTTGTTTCAGCAATAACAGCTGATAACAATTTCCTGAGTGCTCACTGTGCTAGGTGCCATACTAAGCATCTTATACACTCACTTAATCCACCCAACCAACCCGATGAAGTAGGTTACTGTTGTCATCCCCTTTATTTGCAATAAGGAAACTCCACTCGGGAAGACAATACTTGCCAAAGGTTACACAGCTAGTATCAAAGTCGGTTCTGCACTGTACCACTCCCACTGCACTTTTAATCTATGCAAAAGAAGTAGAGAGCAATTACATAAGCGGTCAGATTTCACCTAAGCCAGCCAGTCTAACAATTCTGAAAATCTCCTAAGAAAGAAAGGGGGCTAGCCTCTACAGAAGCCCCCTCTGTGCCAAGTACTGCCTTCACCTGCTATTCCATTCGGCCTCACAAAACCTGCATGGTTACTACTCTCACTTTACAGTGGAGGAACCGAAGCACAGAGGGTTTAAGTAACTGAAATGAAGACACACCACTCTCAGCTATGCGCTTTCCATGAAATCTTTTTTTTTTGGTAAGCTCTACCCCCAACGTGGGGCTTGAACTCATGACCCGAGATCAAAAGTCATATGCTCCACCGACTGAACCAGTCAGGCGCCCCTTTCCACAAAATTTTTAAGATTTTATTTATTTCAGAAAGAGAGTGCGCACTAGTGGAGGGGAGGGGCAGAGGGAGAGGGAGAAGGCTCCCCGCTGAGCAGGGAGACCTGGGGGGGGGCCCCTCGACCTCAGGACCCTGGGACCATGACCTGAGCCAAAGGCAGACACTTAATCGACTGAGCCACCCAGGCGCCCCTCCTCAAAATCTTAACGCCTCCTTTTAAAAAAAAAAAAAATCGAATTTTAGAAAATATTCTCAGGCACAGTAATTTTTTACTCAAGAGTTAAAATAATAAGTCCATGGAAGAGAAGACTCAAACATAAAAGTTGAAGCCTTTGTATATACAATGACTGCACAACGAGAACAGAAACAAACTCAGTAGCAGGCACTCCAAGAGTTTAAATCCTAACTTCCAAAAACCAGTCCCACCAGCGCTCAGTGCCATGTTGAGGAAACAGTCCCTGGGTTTAAAGCAAGGTCAGTACATTTCAATGAGCCATTATGATTCATGCAGTAGCTCTCCAGCCCCACACAAATCACACCAGAACACGCCTTAGGGAAACAGCTTCTCCCAGACCAGACTCTTCACACAAAACAATGTTTTTCAGACCCTCAGCGTTTTTGCATGTGGGCATTTTCACTTGCCAAAGGAACACAGATCCTGAATTTGAACCTTAGTGAGGTGGAATTATTAGTTAACACCAACCAATCAACATTTCCTCAGAAAGCTCACTGGAGACATGACCCAAGAGGTGTGGTTTAGCTGCCTAATCCCCTAAGCGACAGTTCCTTTTAAGGGAGCGCCCTGTAAGTCCAATGGGGTTAATGTGGATGGAGAGAGAAAGGCACATTCCATTGCCATGTAAAAATAACTTTAAATAAAAATAAAATGTGTGCATATGAAACGTCAGCCCACAGGAAAGGAAAGAGCAAAGATCACTGGGGATGGTACTACATTTAGGGAACTGCATAACGAACAGGAGGAACAGGAAAAGATAAACACACAGACACTGAAAATGAGACCGTCTATAGCTTCAACATGATTTTAACGTCTTGAGCTGCGCTAAAGCTCACACACCACAATTAAAACAATGTAAGTGAAGAATGCACAGCTGTATTCAAACCTAACAGCGAATGCCTTCAAAACCTAGCCACGCTTTCTGCCACAAAACATCCCCTCAAGGCTTGAAGAAGTCTTACTCTACAATTTAAAACACTTCCTTCTGCCAATTAAAAAAAAAAAAAAAAAGCCTTTGGTTCAGATTAAGAGATTCTATGCTGGAAAAGGCCTGTTGCATTTACGGTCTCATCCTAAACCTACTGAGATACATAATCGCTTTGACCATAAAAAGGTAAGATATTTCTTAAGTAAGTTTTTATTTGCCATTAGCTTAATATTCTTGAAATAAGACCCTATTAACTTGTCAGGATGACCTGCTATTAATGGCTGTTTTACCTTTCTAAAAAACAATGAATTAGCTGGTTATTAGTAACTGCAATTAGTCTTGATTGAGCACTAACCATATGCTGTGTTAACATGCACTATCTCACATAATCCCCACATCAACTCTATTAAATAATCAGCCTTCAACAGATGCTCAGAGAGGTGGATTAACTTGCCTGAGATCACACAGCTGGCAAGTGGCCAAGTCCAGCGTGGAGTATTTGATTCCAAAGTCTCTAAGTTCCCTTTTGGTCAAGAGATGACAGTTTACAGAGTATTTTCTTCTGTGTCTCACAACCACTCCGAAATAAGCCAATAAACCAATGCATAACATTAACAGCTGAGTCAAAGTAACACGGCCAAAATTTTAGTTATTCATGTTATACCCGTTCCCACAGAAACATGCCACATGTGACCAGAGGAACAGGATTTGCTAAGTGTGACTGTAGCTAGGTGAGCTGCTTGGCTAAAGTATTCTGGTCTTCTAGATCAGTTTCCTTGTTTTAAAAGCACTACACCCTGAAGAACAAACTATTGCTGAGCAAGTTAATTTGAATTATGTGGTCTAATCAAGGGCAGTCGGTGAGTCCTCAGTATTTGTACAGGATACTCTGGTAAGACAGTCACCTTCACAAAAAAAAGCAACCAACAAAGTTCTGCTAGATTAATTTGCCTTTCCCTTTATGCACTAATCTCCAGTTTCTTGGGTAGAGGAAACAAGTCATGCTGTCCCTAACAGCCTCGGAGTCAGGAAAATTACTTGACTCTTTCTACGATCTTCCCTCCACTAAAAGGCAGTTTATTTCTATTAAGGTAGAATATAAACAATCTAACTACACCAATATAAATACAGTATTCCGTTCTTACTGAAACAGAATGGTCACACAGCAAAATAATTTGTAGGTGGTATTACACATTAGAAAACTATACCTGTCATTTTATTATTAAACTAGAAAGATGCCTGCTGACATACAACAAAAGGTCTCCCAGCAACTGAAAAGCAGAAAAACTAAGCAAAGATTTTCTTTCTTTAAGAGACGTGAAACTCTTTCAGTCAAGAAAGATGGATTTTGTCACTTACTATTCTCTAAAATGGAAAGTGCCACATGGAGACCATAAATGAGGGAAACTGCATCTCGGAGCAATGTTCTATGTGCCAAGTTACAAAGCCCGTGAATACAAGGGGTGTATTAATGGAGAGACTGATACCATCTTACTACAGTGGCCTCTCTGTAGCTCAGGACAATAATCTGTTGAGGGTTTTCCAGTCATTTTGAATGTGCCACCTCCATTACAAGCCCCCTTTCAAGGAAGCTGGCTCAGGGCTGAACAATCCCTCTTCGGAAAGAAAGCCAAAAGCCCCCACTCAGGCTTCTGGGTGAGAGGCTCAGCCCTGTAGGCGTGGGAAGGCTCAGACTTGGGAGACAAAGAAGTAGGAGTGGTAAATGGGCTGGGGAGAGCTGGGATCAGCCTGGGTCCACCTGCCTGGAGGGGACCCAGACCCGTAGGATGGGACATTCAGAGAAAGAGTCCAAAAAGGCTGGGAAAAGGAGAGACCAACACAGTGCAAATCCAAGCGTGAAGCCAGTTACCCCAGAGAGCAAACCATGCCACAAAAAATCCAGTGACATAACCAGAAACAGGGTGGCCATATCCTTCCAGAGGCTGGGCAGGACCTCAACTATCAAAGAGGTGGGGATTGGCTGTCAGCCCCCCAACCCCTGGTTTATCTCCTCCCAAAAAAATAGCTCCAGGAACTCTCACTGGCCCCAACAGGGTAGGACACCGGGGCAAAGCCACCGTACTAGATTCCCATATTCCCTGCTTTCACAGAAGGGGGCAACTTTATGGAGAAAGGGATTCCTGCTCCCACCCACCAGACCAAGGAGAACCACCTGGGACGGCTTTGCTAGGGCCGCTTCCAAATGAAAGGCAGACCCCACAGGGCCCCTCCAACGCTCTTGGGAACTCAAATCTTAATCTGGCTAAATCCGTGGCCTCGTGCCTCCCACAACCTCAGAGACGCTGCCCAATCCTAAAGTCCTCTCAGGCTGAGGCTCAGCTACAGAGCCTCAGCCCCCACAAACCCATCCTGGAAAGGGCAATCCTAAGACTCCTAACCAGCTAGTCCACTCAGCCCCTGAAAACCTATTCGCAGAGCCCAATTACAGCCTCAGTCCGCCTGTACCTCTCAACCCTCTCCTCAAGCCCCTCAACCCCTGCCCAGACCTAGCCCTCGGCCCCCTCCGTCCGGTCACCCCTAGTCCTCCCCCACAGCCCCCTCTACCCTCTCCAACCCAGTCCATCCCAATTCCCTCCTCGTCCCACCAGACTCAGCCCCAGGCCCCCGAGCCCCCAAATGCCCGTCCCAGGCTCTCTAACCCCGGCTTCATTCCCAGCCTCCGTGCCTCAAAGCCTCGCCTCGAACCCGATCATCCCTCGAGCCCCGTCTCAGGGTGCTTCCCCCCCCCCCAACTCAGCGCCAGCTCCGTCCCCTCACCCCGTCCCCAGCCCTCCCATTCCTCGACGCAGTCCTCAACCCAACCTGAGGCACCGAGATCGCCCCCGCCTCCGGCCACCTCCAGCCCGCCGCGGGCCCCCGACCCCGCACGCCCCTCCTCGAGGCCCCGCAGCCGCACGCGCGCCCCCGCCCGGCTCACCTCCTCCATCTTCTGCACCATCTCCGTCAGCTGCCCCTCGTCCTCCAGCAGCTCGTTGAGCTGCACCAGCGACAGCCCAGCGAACCGGGCTTCGCTCCCGGCGCCCGCCATCCCCGCGTCTCAACCGCCACCGCCGCTCCGGCCGCCAGGCTCCGCCGACCGGAAGCGCCGCCCTCAAGGTCCGTCCCCGGCGGGGGGGGGGAGGGGGCACGTGACGCCAACTCTGGAGCATGACGTCATCACCGCGCGGGCGGGCGGACGTGACGTAGGAGGCCGGGCCCGGGGCGAGACGTGAAGCAGGGCTGACCCGGGAAAGGTTGGGAGCTTCTAGAGGGAAAGAAAGGAGCTGCGAATGGATTTGTGAGGCAGCGAGAAGCAGTAATGATGTCACTGCGGCACAGGAGAAGGCGTTGTGATGACATAGAGCCTTTTTCCTCAAGGCAAAGAAAGGTCTAGATCCAAAGAAAGCAGGCAGTGGGAAAGAAGTTACTGCAGCCTAAGCCCTACCTGGCCTGGGGAATCTCAAAAAAGGGCATTTTTATGGGGAAGCAACTTTAGATGCCTTCGGTTCCTCGGAACTGTGGAGCTGCAAAGTCACTCGAACAAATACGGAGAACTTCTATGTGGACTAAGCTTTGGGTGACCAGTTCTGAACAAAACAGGAAGCATCCCTGCCCAGTGGAGCCAACAGACTGACAAGGGAAGCAAACGAGAAACAAGTAAAAGGGCTACAAATTGGGAGACTGTAAAGAAGGACATAGATGCTGAAATTCTACTATCTAGAAGACGGCGCACTCAGAAGGGGAGAGCTAAGGAGATCTAAAGGATGAGAAAGGAGGAACCAGCCACCATTCCTGTAGGAAGTCCAATGTGGCAAGACAAGCATGTGCAAAGGCCCGATCAGGACTAGCTTAGTACACTCAGGGAAGGAGTCCTCAGAAAAGCAGTAGGGCCACAGGATCATGAGCAGAGAGACCTGTTCATGTGACCCCTTTGCACTAACTTTGGGGAAGACACCTAGGCACCCAGGTGGGCCAAGCTGTGCTTTCAGAAACACAGTGTGGGGTACAATTGTTCAGTCTCCTCAGCTATCTAGAAGTCTCTCGAGATTCAGGAGCCTGTGAACTCTTCATCCTCCTTTGGAATCTGTGACCATTCTAGTTGGAAGAAACCTAAAGGCTGAGGTTAACTACTACAGCCTCTTAATCTTACACATAAACTGAGGCCCTGGGAGGAGAAAATTTTTGGTTTTTCCCAAAATCCAGTGATTGGCAGGCCTCCTGGCTCCCAGTCTGGCATTCACGAGGCTGGCATCATACCACATTGACCTCACACATAACTCAGTACTGAACACAGTTGAGGCATTCAGTAAATGCTTATTGACTGACTGATGAGCTTTGTGTATGAAGATGATGCTTCTGCTCTAACATCTGTAGAACATAAGGCCTGAGTTGTCCACCCATACATTAGACTGGGCTCCACTGACCCTGTTCTCACTCTCCTTCCAGCCCCTCCTGAGGAAGGCACACACTTGTAGAAAAGTTAGAAGTATTTCGTATTATCTGCAAGCAAAAGGTTTTATTGAGTTCAAAAGGAGCACTCTGTAGTTTTCTTCTTCTGAACTTGTTATACTTGGTCTCAAAACGTGGCCTTGAGGAGGAAAGTCCACAGCAAAGAGGAAGGGAATGTCAACAGTCAAGTTAGGTTCAGGGTACTAACTCAATGTTTTTCTTTTCTCTCCAGGAAAAGAGTAGACCTGTCAAGTTGGGAATAATTGCTGTATTTCCAGGAAATTCTCACCCATGAGGCTTAAGATGTTATCCAGAAATTTCTCAGTCCTCACAGAAGGAGAGAATAAGGTTAGGGGTCAGAGCACTCCAGAATATAGAGGGATGAAGTGACTCAGTCAAGAACACACATTGGGAACACACCCACTTCTGAATGTCACTTTTGTATACAGTGACCACTAAAATGCTCAGCTGAAACATTCACATCTCAGCCTTGCCTTTTTTTTTTTTTTTTTTTTTTTTAAGATTTTGGAGCATGCACCTGCGGGTGGAGAGGGATGGGCAGGAGCCGAGGGAGAGGGAATCTTAAGCAGGCTCCTTGCCCCGCACAGAACCTGACATGGGGCTCAATCTCCCAACCATTATATCATGACCTGAGCCAAAATCAAGAGTCAAACCCTTAACCGACTGAGCCCCCCAGGCACCCCTCACCTGGTTCTTTTATAATTCTCAAACCTGTTTCCTGCCACAGACCTAGTCGAGTCAAAGACAGTTTCCTTTGCCAAAGAGGGCAAACCATACAAACATCTTGTTTCATGCTGCTCTAAAAACTTCTCACTCTTAAAAGTGACTGGAAGGAGAGAAGGAACATCAGAAAATCCTTACAGTAGTGCCAAACCTGTCAATTTAATGTGCGGGTGGACTTGCACATTTTCCTCCTTTTGGCTGTTATTGGGGTTTCTCTACACACCTACGTCTGCCTGTAATGTTTGTGGGTTAACTAAGATTTTGTTCTGGCAAACCACGAGCGACGTATGCATGTGCCAGGGCTGCTCTCAATGGGACTATTGTTACCGCCGGAGAAATGAATCTCCTTTTTCACAACATCAGGAACCATTTGGAAAGCATAAAGTAACCTTCACATAGTTGAACCTTAAAATCAGCTAGCCTTGAGTTTAGAATTCTTGCTCTTCAACACAAGTTAATAGAAGCATACATATCTTCGGTTGGAAGAGCTGGGAGAAAATGTGTTGACCTGATGACAGGGTATCCATAGCATACGCTATGCAGCTATGTGTGGGCAGGGGAGGAATTATTCCCCAAGGCAACAGGTAAAGCTGTCACGCTCCTCACAGCCTGACATCACCACCATCTACTAAGTGCCCAACATGACCCAAGCAAGAGTCAACAAGAAAAAAAAAATCATCTTAGACACAACCCCTGCTTCGGGGAGAGAAGATAAAAATAACTTTAAAAATACTATATATCTTTATAAGGTTGATATTTGTGTGTGTTATAAAGGTGGAGGGTGAAAAAGAGGTTATTTTGATTTGAGATTTGGCTCTTTTGGTTTATTTCCCCCCTCTTAGTTTATTAAACTCCACATAGGAGCAAAAAATATCTCAGGCACAAAGAGAAAGGGAGAGCGAGAGAGAACGAAAATACAACATTCATAATGACCAGGCTAAGGATAGACATCACAGACACAGTTGAAAACCCTATGTATCCTTTCTCCTCAATCCCATTTCTCTATTTGCTTCTCCAGAGGGTAGCTACTAGCCTATTATTTTACCTCATATGTATAGATCCATGAATTTAATAAAAACATTTATGTTTTTTTTTAGGATTTTATTTGACAGACACAGTACTTTTTTTTTAGGATTTTATTTGACAGACACACAGTGAGAGAGGGAACACAAGCAGGGGGAGTGGAAGAGGGAGAAGCAGGCTTCCCACTGAGCAGGGAGCCCGATGTGGGGCTCGATCCCAGGACGCTGGGATCATGACCTGAGCCGAAGGCAGACGCTTAACGACTGAGCCACCCAGGCACCCCTACAGGTACATTTTCTGCTACTTGTTTTTTTATAGTCAACGTTAAGTTTGAGATGGATCCTTGCTAGATTATATAGTTTGAAACATTTTTCCACACCGTATAGCATCCCATTATATACATTTATGACAATTTAGGAAATTCTTCTGTGGTTCGGGGGGGGTCATAGGTATTTACATCTTCAATTTTATTGGATATTGCCAGATTGTTCTCCAAAGTGGTTGTTCCAAAAGTTTTTTTTATTGTGATTAAATACACATAATGTGAAATTTCTCATTCTCACCATAGTTGAGTGTAGAATTTGGTGGCCTTAAATACATTCCCATTGTGCAAGTATCACCACCATTCATCTCCAGAACTGAAAACTCTGAACTCCTTAAGCAGTAACTCCCATTCCCCATCTCCCTCTAGCCCCTGGTAATCACTGTACTTCTTTCTAGTTCTATGAACTTGACTACGCTAGGTACCTCTGGTATGTTCATTCGTACAATATTGGCCTTCTTGGGACTGGCTTATTTCACTCAGCTGAAGGTCTTCAAGGTTCACCCATGTCCTAGCAGGTCTCAGAATTGTATTCCTTTTGAAAGCTGAATATTCCATTGTATGTACATACCATATTGTTTATCCATTCATCGGTTGATGGAGTGGGCTCTTTCCACATTTTGGCCATTGTGAACAATGCTGCTATGAACACTGATGTACGAATAGCTGAGTCCTTGCTTCAGTTCTTTTGGGTATATATTCAGAAGTGAAGTTGCTGGAATATTTTTTTTTTTTTTAAGATTTGACAGAGACAAAGCGAGAGAGGGAACACAAGCAGGGGGAGTGGGAGAGGGAGAAGCAGGCTTCCCGCAGAGTGGGGAGCCCGAGGCGGGGCTCGATCCCAGGACCCTGGGATCATGACCTGAGCCGAAGGCAGACGCTTAACGACTGAGCCACCCAGGTGCCCCTGGAATATATAGTATTTTTAATTTGAGGAACTGCCAGGCTGTTTTTGGTGATTGCACCATTTTATGTCGTCAGAAGCTATACAAGATTCCTTTTTCTTCATATCCACAAACTTGTTTTCTGGTTTTTTTGTTTTTTGTTTTTTTGGTAATAGCCATCCTGGGTTGGGTTGGGTTGTCATTGCTGTTAACTAGGGTTTCTTGTGTCAAAAGAATGAGCATCGTTTCATTTCTTATTCAGTACAGTTCAGTTGCAAGAGGTCTGAAAATTTCCGAAACCAGTAAGGATCATCTATAAAGAGAATTTATCTTTCTTTATTCCTACAACCCAGGAAGATAGTTTGGGATGCACAGAAAATTAAATGTTTCTATATAAAAAGGATGTGACTAATTGTTCCTGCAACAAAGGTCTTCTTAGATTAAGACCCAGAATATGAAAGCAAAGAAAGGAATGGGAAGCAGATGGCTAGAACATCAGAAAGCACCTACGGCAGCCACCCTCTGATATGCAGGCTCTTGAGTAGCCCTCTCTTGGATCATACCAGGGTTGGTCTGCGTGATATACACAATGGCAAAAGTGATAGCACATCACTCCCAAGAGGGGATTTCTAGGTTTCCCTCTCCTCCTCACATGACCAGCTCTAGGGGAAGCTGGCTGTCTTA